GACTGTGTTTTGCAGCTTGGGAGTGCTTCTTGACCAGTCTCTCCAAATGTCATCCTAGGTAGATGTGATAGTCAGGAGTGCTCACTACCAGCTTTAGCTGAACAGCTGTGCCTCTCCCTAGAATTGGAGGACCTAAAGATATGCAAGCTCAAGGTTGAACTTCTGCAGTGTGTTTTACATTGGGCTACCTCTGTACTATGTTCAGAAAATCCCAATTAGTTGAAAACATGGCAGTCAGATTTGTTATAGGAACAGCTAGGAGTGAGCATATTACACTTAAACTAAAGTAACTTCACTGGTTGCCAATTATTTTCCAGTGTTGGTTTTAACCTTTAACCTACATGGTTTGGTTCAAGGTTACCTACAGGATCACCTTCTCCTGTACAATCTGCCCTGAACACTGAGGTCCTTTGTGAAGCTGCTACTCCAGCCTGCCAGAACGCGAATTGAGACTGTCACCTTTTTATTGGCTGCCTCAAGACTGTGGAATATAAGACACATCTGAAGACGTATCTCTCCCAGCAGGCCCAAGACCCCCTTCCCCTACCCCACTGTGGAAGAAAATGAATATCTCTGATCAGTTCTAGCCTGGTAACCACACATCCTGAAATGTTTTGGAAAACAGGCCTGTAAAGAAATATGCATTCTGGATGTGTAAAAATCAGTTTTTTTCCAGGAAGAATGTATTTGCATAAAACATTATTTTTAGGTAGCCAAAATTGTGTTTCCCTTTCACATTAAAATATCAGCAATTCTGCACCAAAAAAAGCATACGGCTATGTGGGAACAGTAGAGTTTTGGGGTGTGTGCAATTTATTTAATTTTTGTGGTTTCCAGGTTTGAGTATCTCATTTCATTCGTGCTATCTATTTGCAATCTCTGTTTATGTAATATTTATTGAACGTACTAGCAAATTTCCCCCCTCTTTTTAGTCAGTCATAGTCACCTGCCACATCCCATGAGTCTTAGGACATGAATATGTTGGATGAAGGAAACCTTGTGATAAGGAACCACTTTGTTGTCTGTTCTAAAAGGTGTTTTTTGAAAGGAAGAAAAAACCCGAGTGTGTGCGTTTCTTGATGTGACTTTAGCAGAAGATTTGGTATTGGGGCAGAAATATGGTTAAAATACCCATATCATTCACAAAAAAGAGCATGTTGGCATGTTTCAGCAAACTTTTTATTCAAAACCAACACCATTCACATGTGAAGTGAAGCATCTGCATCAAGGAAGCCCTGCTTGAGTACCATAAAAACATGTGGAGCCCATTGAAGGCTTCTTCTAGAATGCATCCAGGATTGCCTTTTTCCCTTTCATCAGTCTCAGGTTTTGTTATGAATTCCACTTACGTGGTTTCACTTATGTCTGCTTTTCACCATGCTGGAGATAACTGGTGAGACAAATGTACATGCTTTTTTACTTGCTTTTTTCCCTAGTCACATATGCATTGCTAAGTAAAGGATCCAGAACGCAGCTGTATGTTTATATTGCCATTTATAGACACCCATATGTAACTAAACTTGGATTGGCTAGAGCAGGATCCCCGTGTTTCCCATCCTAAGCTTTATTGCATTATTCACTGTAAATAAAAATTGTTTGTGTTTCTTCAACCTTTGTCCATCTTTCCCCAATGCCAACTTTCTTTGGGGGTCTTTATGAGGCTACTAAAGCTTCAATTCTGCATAAAATGATGACGCAAACTGGAAACATTAAGTAGGGATCTTTTGGCAGGTTCCAAAAAATTGTGCTAATAATTATCCTTCAAAATGTTCAAATCTAGTTCAGAGTTATTCTCATTGGAGGAGTGCTTCATAATTCTTTTTGGGTGTTTTCGTTGTTTTGTATGTAATCTTAAGTGATTACATCAAACATTACAAAGCTGTATGTATTACTAAAGTTTCACAGATGTCTGTTTTTACTCTTGCCTGCCCTGTGTTATTTGAAAACAGATTCTTATCATGTTCTTCTGGAAAGCTCTGATCAGGAAGTTGAGGCAATTGTGCATAAAATATGGAAGATGATTAAGAAGGAGTGGGCTTCCCATGTCTGGCTGTTTCTCCATTGTTTACTGCTAAAAGGAAATCAGTAAATTTTTGTATTAGAACACTGATAAAACCCATTTGAGTACAGCTATGTTTACATCTCAGATCTTTTATCCTATGATAATTAACAATATTCTGGTTTTGTTTTTTAAAACTAAGCCCTGCTCTTGCATGTTGAGACTTGAATTGTTGTAAACAGTTAGACGTTGTTGGAGCAGCCTTCAGGGTGAAATTAATAAGCTCTAAACACTAAAATACTTGCTGTAGCTCCTAGTAGGGAAGAGGAATGATGTTGGTGGGGAGGAGTGGCATCCTGCAGCTTAAGCAAGCCAAAACAAGTATGTAACTGACATGAGTCTGAGGCACACTCTGTTGTGATTTTACAATCTATATATATAAATTTGTTAGGGGCATCCAACGGAGAAACAAAACTCAAAACCCCCCCAACAAAACTTAACCAAAATTCCCATGCCCATAACACAACCCACAAGGTACAAACATATCTACTCAAAATGAAAAACAACACAACAACACACTCACAAAACGGCAAAACAACAAAACTCAAAAACCCCCCAACGAAACTTAACCAAAATTCCCATGCCCATAACACAACCCACAAGGTACAAACATATCTACTCAAAATGAAAAACAACACAACAACACACTCACAAAACGGCAAAACAACAAAACTCAAAAATCCCCCAACGAAACTTAACCAAAATTCCCATGCCCATAACACAACCCAAAAGGTACAAACATATCTACTCAAAATGAAAAACAACACAACAACACACTCACAAAACGGCAAAACAACAAAACTCAAAAATCCCCCAACGAAACTTAACCAAAATTCCCATGTCCCATAACACAACCCACAAGGTACAAACATATCTACTCAAAATGAAAAACAACACAACAACACACTCACAAAACGCCAAAACAACAAAACTCAAAAATCCCCCAACGAAACTTAACAAAATCCCATGCCCATAACACAACCCACAAGGTACAAACATATCTACTCAAAATGAAAAACAACACAGCAACACACTCACAAAACGGCAAAACAACAAAACTCAAAAAAACCCAACGAAACTTAACCAAAATTCCCATGCCCATAACACAACCAACAAGGTACAAACATATCTACTCAAAATGAAAAACAACACAACAACACACTCACAATACGGCAAAACAACTGAGCATGCGCATTGGCGCCCAGCCGCAAGTTCCCTGGCGCGCGCACATGGCCTTCCGGCCAACGTTCCCTCTGCGGAAACCATGCCCACTCCAAGCCCCGCCGCTTCCCGCACACACACACCCCCTGCCGCACACACACACGCAACCCCACGCTCCATCACTCCCCGCGCCGCCGCAGACACACACGCAACCCCACTCCCCCCGCCGCCACACACACACGCAACCCCACGCTCCATCACTCCCCCCACCGCCGCACACACACGCAACCCCCCTCCCCCCGCCGCCGCACACACACACGCAACCCCACTCCCCCCGCCGCCGCACACACACACGAACCCCACGCTCCATCACTCCCCCTGCTGCACACACACACGCAACCCCCGCTCCCCCCGCCGCCGCACACACACACGCAACCCCACGCTCCATCACTCCCCCCGCCGCCACACACACACACACAACCCCACGCTCCATCACTCCCCTGCCCCAATCTTACCTCCTTTTACTTCACGCCACCTCCAAACCCCACCCCGCCCCTTCCCGCCCTGTCAAAATCTAGGAAAGACAGGAAGGAAGGAAAGAAGGAAGAAAGAGAAAGGGAGGTAAAGAAAAAGGGGGAAGGAAGGAAAGTTAGAGGAAGAAGAAAAGGAAAGAAAAGGAAAGATGGAAGGAAAGAAAAGAGAGACAGCAGAAGAGAAAGAAAAAGGGGGAAGGAAGGAAAGAGATAGAGAAGAAGAGGAGAAGGAAAGATGGGAAGGAAGGAAGGAAGGAAGGAGGGAAAGAAGGAGAGAAAGAGGGAAGGTTGGCCACAGCAACGCGTGGCGGGTAAAGGTTGTTATTTCTATTATTATTATTATGCTATTATTCCTATGAGACCCTTTTAGGGGGAATGGGGGAGGTGTCAGGTCCCAGAGGCAATGCATTGCATTATTGTTATTGTTATGATGGTGGTGAAATAAAAGGAAATAAAAAGTGAAAGAAGGAAAGCAAACAGGGAGGGAAGAAAGGCAAAGGAAGAAAGGGGGAGGGAATGAAGGAAAGAGAGAAGGATGAAACCAAGTAGTGAAAGAAAGAAAGAGGTAGAGAAGGAAGAAAGGAGAGAAAGGGGGAGGAAAAGGGGGAAGGAATAGGTAGGTACCTCTCTTTCATAATAGTCCAGATATCTACCTCAACTTTGATAAGTTTTACTATAGGCCACAGCAACGCGTGGCAGGGCACAGCTAGTAATATAATATAATTGACTTTTAAAATGTTGATATTTCTTGTTTGTAATAAGATGATGGCTTTTTTCTGAGCATGCCACTTACTGTATTTACAACCATTCCCTGAATGGGGATTTTGAGATGGAATACATGAAAATCTTTATAGCTACTTCCATTATTGAAATACCCTATTTTACTATAATGTCTACACTGAAACTTAGAAGTCAACCATCTGTTAGGTAAATAATATTTTGCTGTGAATTAAAATCTTGAATGAAATTTACCTGAAAATGGACTGAAGAGGAAGTCTCAGGATCTCAGTGGAGGTCTGCTATGGCTCATTCTGCATTGAGTGAATGGAAAGAAATCATTGCTAGGTAGAATTAAGCTAAAGTGGGAAAGTGACATATGAAATGTGAGGTATTTGTCTACATATGTCAGACCTACTGACTAGTCAAAGTTAATAGAGGGTCCTATTTAGGTTAGATTGCAAGATGTAAATAAGTGTAACACACACAAACATATACACACGCTAATTATTGTTTTTCTCATTTTCTAGCTTTTTACACATCAATCCCTTAAACCTGTGACAGTCGAGCAAGTGGACAAGATTTCTTTTTCATCTTTATACCTAATCCTGCATACTGAAAGCACAAGCTTGGCTTCTAGGACAGGGAAAATTTCATGATGGGTCCATCCCAGGTGGTTTCCATTGTATGATTCCAGATAGCTTTATATTGGTAAGATTTTACACAGTCTTTTATATGTTAGTGTATTCATTTCTGGGTTATTTATTTATTTACTTACTATATTTCTATCCCGCCATTCTCAGCCCGAGGGTGACTCATGGTGGTTTACAGAACGGCACAATTTGATGCCCACAACAATACAAAGATAGTTAAAACATTTTAAAAATTAACATTGTTTTTTTTCTCTAAATGCTTAAGACTTCTTCTCAGAATGAGACTGGTATAGATATAATCATATGCTTCTAAATTACTGCTTGTATTGAAGTAATTTTTGTAAAGTAATGCTTTTACTTTAATAATCCTTAATGTTATCAAATGTCTAAAATGACTTGTGCCTTTGTATGGCTATAAACAATGGATTCATTTTTAAAACATTTCTGATGACTTGCTTTTGAAAACTGAACTCGACTGCCCACCAGTTTTGTTTTGTTTTTAATTTATTTAGAGCCTTTATATCCCACCATCCACCCAAAAAGACTCCCAAAGGAATTTACAAATTGTTATTTTCACAGTTCTCTGTCCTCAGAGACAACATGCAAGGAACAGGGAATGGCTGTAGGGGATTAAATCTAGCAGATGCGGTTGCTCTTCTGTCCCTTGGAGGCTATGGCAGAGGCATTGGAATAGAGGGAGGATCTCTCACCAGCCATAGGGACCAAAGCACAACAGAGCTGTACATGTTGTTTTCCACTTTCTCGGACCTCAGAGCAGTGGCAGTTGGAACAGTTCAGGTCAGGGTTGATTTGCTGTCCCTTAACAAGTATTTTTAAAACTTTGGCCAAAGCAGAAATAGTTTCCTCCTGAGATACTGCCTTTGAAAGAAATGAGAGGATTTCATGCCAACTGGGTTGGTAGTTGGAACTGGAACATAGATCTACATGAATATTGATCGATAGGGGCACACATAAATGTTTGGAACTGTTGTTTGAGTATCTAGAGGAGAGAGTATTTAGTAGTTTGAGCATTAATGCACTAAGAAAACCTATTTTCTATAATTATTGATCATAATTGCTCCCAGAGTGATCATTATGATGTATGGATTCTTCAAATGTGCATAGAAGCTTCACTATGTCTCCTCTTTCAATGGAAGTTAGTTTTTTTCTTTGTAAGGCCTGGTTGTTAGGATATGGTTTAATGTTTGAACAAAATCAGTCTCTTGATCTAACCTGCCTCAAAGCCTTGTTGCATTTGTTCATTGCGCCTTGAAAGGAGGTTAGGATATAACCAAAATAGTCTGTATACTTTTCATGTGCAGATGTAGCCTGAATACTTTTCACAAACCACCTTAAAGTCTTTTCTCTTCAAGGTGTTTGTTCTATAGTTGGCATGTAATTTAAATTAGTTGAGTTAAAAACATACTTAACAAAATACCTGGTACTCAGAATAATGATTTTAGCTCATAATAACACATTATCTGAAGTATTGACCCGTCGTGTAAGATTCCTGAGCTTGGAAAGTCTGGTTCCGTATTGATATTAAAGAAGTGGGCATGTCTGGTCCCCTACACTGCTATATTTAACTCCATGAACTAGACTTGGGAAATGTGAAACAAATATTATCAATGGATCAAAGCAATTCCCTTTTTGAGAAATCTTACCTGTCCATTCCCATCTAATTGTAATCCTGGTTACTTAAGAAGTAAGATTTCAAAATGTTCTATATTTATTTTAATGTTCTCAATTTCTCTGAATGAGTTTGTGAAAAAAGGGAAACCTATAAAAGTGACTTGATAAAAAATAGTTTTTTGACAGCAATATACAATGACTTGCCAGGCATATAAGGGTATTTGATGATGCCTTTGAAATGGTGGTGTAATTGTGCCACATTCCGTTCTTTGGCTTAAAAAAAAATATTGAGTTCTTGTGTTCACTTGTTTTTATTTTTGCTTCCATTAAAAGGAAGAACTAAATAACTGGCTCACAGGGCTGCTTAGTTGCTAACCAGATTGGCAGGCCAAAAGGTTACTGAACAAGTAGGCCAAAGGGAGTTAGAATGTGTCTCCCCATAGTTTTGGTCCATTCTTATTTTATTCCAGCTATATTCCTGCTTCTTAAGAAATTGGTTTAGTAAAGGTAAAGGTAAAGGTTTTCCCCTGACATTAAGTCCAGTCATATCCGACTCTGGGGTGTGGTGCTCATCTCCATTTCTAAGCCAAAGAGCCAGTGTTGTCTGTAGACACCTCCAAAGTCATGTGGCCAGCATGACTGCATGGAGCGCCGTTACCTTCTCGCCGGAGTAGTACCTATTGATTGACTCACATTTGCATGTTTTTGAACTGCTAGGTTGTCAGAAGCTGGGGCTGACAGCGGAAGCTTACGCTGCTCCCCAGATTAGAACCTGCAACTTTTCAGTCAACAAGCTTAGCAGCTCAATGGTTTAACACACTGAGCCACTGGGGGCTCCTTAAGAAATTGCTTTAGTGGAGATTTATTATTTAGTTACAAGATTTCTACTCCACCTTTCTCCACTCAGGAGGGTACTCAAGGCGGCTTATACATAGGCATCTATTTGATGCCATAAAACAATTAAAATAAACATTTAAATAGAATTATAAAATATATTAAAACAATTAAAAACATTTAAGATAATATCTTCAGAATTAATGTGGCTGAATTTGAAGGAAATGTTGGGTTTCCACAATCCATGCTTCCTTCTTTGAATCCCCCTTTAGTCTAAAGTAATTTGCTTCCAGTTATTCCCTCATAGATGAAGAGTAGCAGGCCATGACAATGTAGGTTAACCTTCATACCTCCAGGACCGAAGTTTTCCCTGTTTCCCAATCCTGTGTAATAACTATTAAAATACAGGAAAGTTTAGAATAAGTACAAATATTAAGAGTTAAGTGTTGATTAACTACATTGTTATTAGTTGAGTTGCAGCTGATATTCAGATGCATATGAATGAAAACAGTATCTGGTGCCAGTCCTCTTATAGATATTCATCATTTCTGTGTATGATAATGTTTATTTATATCCCGCCTCCTCTCCCTAGGGGACTCGGGCGGCTTACAACATAAATAATGCAATAAACAGGTATGAGAGAAGGGTGAATATATACTTTAGAGCAGTGGTTCTCAACCTTCCTAATGCCGCAACCCCTTAGTACAGGTTCCCACGTTGTGGTGACCCCTAACCATAACATTATTTTCATTGCTACTTCTTTAATTTTGCTACTGTTGTGAATCGTAATATAAATATCTGATATGCAAGATGTATTTTCATTCACTGGACCAAATTTGGCACAAATACCCGAAACGCCCAAATTTGAATACTGGTGGGGTTGGAGGGGATTGATTTTGTCATTTGGGAATGTTGGAATTGCTGGGATTTATAGTTCACTTAAAATCAAAGAGCCTTTTGAACTCCATCAATGATGGAATTGAATCAAATTTGGCACACAGAATTCCCATGGCCAAGAGAAATACTGGGAGAGTCTGGTGGACACTGACCTTGAGTTTTTGGAGTTGTAGTTCACCTATATCCATAGACTCAAACAGTGATGGATCTGGATCAAACTTGGCACAGATAATCAATATGCCCAAATGTGAACACTGGTAGAGTTTGGAGAAAATAGACCTTGCCATTAGAGAGTTGGAGTTGCTGGGATTCATAGTTCACCCACAATGAAATAGCATTCTGAACCCCACCAATGATAGAATTGGACCAAACTTCCTATGCAGAACACCCATGACAAAGAGAAAATACTATGTTTTCTGATGGTCTTTGGTGACCCCTCTGACACCCCCTTGCGACCCCCACAGGAGTCCCGACCCCCAGGTTGAGAATCATTGCTTTAGAGGATAACAATCCCTTTCCCACATCTTTGTGAGTTACTTTTATATGTGCCTGATTATCAGAAGATCTTTTAAAATTTTATTGTAAAGTTTTTTAAAAAGATAATCAAATCACTTGACACAGTGCATCTCTGTTAAAGCTTCTGAGAGATAATGGGGCTTTTAAAGCTTTTAACTGTCGTGCTGCAATCTAAACTTGCTCTTTTTACTGTTGACTTCAGGGTGCTTTGGTTTCTGTATGCTTGTCTTCACTTTGGAAAAGAGAACATTTAGCTTCTTTATTTCCTGGCGAAAGCATCAGAATGCATAACAGAGTAGAGAACTTTCCTTAATAGGAAGGAATAGAAGGAGATGAAAATTGGAAGTTACCCTATGACGGCTTGATCTGAGAAGGACAAATCCAACCACTGTTTACTTGGGAAAAATAGAGGAGCTAAAAACAAAGCTCTCTTCAAATTATAAGGTTGAACATCTATCTTTCAAAACGTTACTTGGTTGATTTTTTTTATTTCTTTAGCTCTTCTCTGTTGGATTGGGTAACCATTACTTTCAGATTTATTTTTCTTCTTCTGAAAGTTGGTAATGGCTGATAATTATATCTTTACTCATGCTGTTTTTATAGTCCTGCACAACAGATGTCTAAAGCCTGCAGAGTTTTGTTGCAAATTTTAGAAATATGAGTTAATTCTCCTCAGCTCTTTGAGCAAGTAAAAGGTGGGAATGGTATAATTAACTTAATTTCTTGCTTATATTGGGAGCAGAAATGGCGAAAAGAACTTTTATTTGACTGGGAACTATCTCAGTGAGAAATCTTAATTTTTAAAGTATTAGTTAACATTAAAATACCAAGCAATCATTGCAATGTTTCCCAGGTAGACACTTTGCTTTTTTCTTTTTTTGGATGTAGCACACTTTCAGCCTATACATTCTTGAAACAACTAGTCTTGGGAGGTGCGAAAGGACTACTTTTATAAAGATGTTTATATTCAGTAAAATTGCCAGTGCTTTTACTGATAAGGTCCCAAGTCCGCTTGAATGTTGAACTGTGACTCTGGAAACCAGAGTTCAAATCCATGCTTTGGTATGGAAACCTAGTGAATCGTCTTGAACAAGTCACACACTTTCAGCCTCAGAGAAAGACAAAGACAAACTACAAATCTTACAAAACACCCTGGAGACCACCTTAGGGTTACCATAA